TATGAATATACGGTTTCTCTGTCTTCGTTTTCCTTCTGTATCTCCTAAGACATAAATGGTAGATCTTGTATCATAGTCCCCAGGTTTTTTGGAGAATGCACTTTGTTGTGTGTTGGTTGGGGATGGGGAGTGAATTCATACTTTGTTTTTTATCCTTAGTTTGCAGGGTTTTTTTTTTTGTTGTTGTTGTTTTTGTTTTGTTTTTCTGCCCCCTCAGTTCTACTATTGAGTTTGTCTATTGAATTTCTATGTTGGTTATTTTATCTTTTGGATCTAAAATTTCAATCAGTTCTTTATGGCTTCTTTTCTTGCTGAGACTATCCCATTCCTGGCCCTTCCTAGAATCCTCTGAGCTGCCCCATCTTCCCCTTTCAGCCTACTCTGACACCATGGGGTGGGAGGCACAAGGAAGATGGATGGCATTGAGTGCCCATTGCAAACTAGTGAGACTACAAGTCTAGGTATCCAGCTTGCCCTTTTGCTAGAATGGCTACCAGTTTTCGTGTAAAGTCTGATAACAGGATGTTTAGTATATAAACATGTGTTCCTGAGTTGCTTCTTACCTTGTGTGTCCCTTGACTAGAGAGGTCTTAAAGAGCGGTATTTCTTACCTAGGGGAGTTTTGCTTGTGCCTGTTTCATCTCTGCTCCTTTCTTACAAGATAGGTTGGGTGTGTTTGAGACAAAAGGAAATCCAGGAACCCAGCTGTGGCACTCAGTGGCTCCCAAAAACCTGAACCATTCTGCTGCCCTTTTCCTGACACTTAAGAGTCAGCTTGTGCTCATTTATATTTTGTGTCCAGAGTTTTTAGTCTTACTTAACAGAGGGAACAGGAAAGTACATTTGTTTTGATTTTTTTTTTCCTTTATTCTGTGTGTTTAGTGTTTCGATTATTATGTGGCAAGGGGACTTTTTTTGTTGTTGTCCAATCTATTTGGTGTTCTGTAATCTTCTTTTACCTCCCTAGGCATGTCTTTCTTTAGGTTGGGAAAGTTTTCTTCTATGATTTTGTTGTATATATTTTCTATGCCTTTGAGCTGGAATTCTTCTCCTTCCTCTACCTTCTTAGGTTTGATCTTTTCATGGTATTCCAAATTTCCTGGATGTTTTGTGTTAAGATTTTTTTGGATGTAACATTTTTTAAAAATTTATTAGTTTAGTTTTTTTATTCCAATTCCAGTTCCCCCTCCCTCCTCTCCCCTCTTAACACCTTTGACTGATGAATCTTTTTCCTCTATGGTATCTTCAATGCCTGAGATTCTCTTTTCCATCTCTTGTATTCTGTTGGTCATTTGCCCAGATTTTCCATTTCCAGAATTCCCTCAGTTTGTAGCTTTTTTATTTTATGTATATATTTATGTATGTATTTATTTATTTATTTTTGCCTCTGTTTTCAAATCTTGAACTCTTTCCTTCACCCATTTGATTGTTTTTCTTGGCATTGTTTAAGGGATTTATTGATTGCTTCCAAATTTTTGTTTGTTTTCCTCCACTTCTTTAGGAGAATTTTACATTTCTTCCTTAAGGGCCTCTATCATCTTATCATCTTTATAAAGTTATTTTTAAGGTCATTTTCTTTTGCTTCATCTGTGTTGAGATGTTCATGTTTGCTGTTGTAGAATCACTAGTTTCTGGTGATGCCATATTGCTCTTTATGTTGTTGGATGTATTCTTACACTATTGTCTATCCATTTCTTCCTCCAATCACTGTGGGTGGGGCCTGTGGCTCTGGTGGTCACTGATGCAGTGGAGGATGGTTGGTGGGAGTAGGGGGTTCGTGGACGGTACTGAGGGTGAAGGATGTTGCTGCCTGGTTGCTGGGGCTCTTGTTTGTGTTTTCAAAGACTTCATCAACAGGTTTCTTCGTATCTTCTTTGAGGCCCTTTACCAATTTTGTAATGGCTACTTTGAAATTCTTGTGTATCAGCTATATTGTGTTTCTCAGGGCCTAGTGTAATAATAGAGTTACTGGATTCTCTGATGGAGTCATAACTGCTTTGGCTATTCATGCTTATGCTTTGTGCTGGAGTCCAGGCATCCAGACTTAACCATGTTTGAAATGTTTCTTGGTGTTGGTATCTGGTCTAGTCCTCATTCAGTGGGCATTCCATTCTGTGGTTGCTGTTGCCCTTCCTGGATCCTAGGCAAGTGTGGTAGCTCTGGGGGCCCATGATTTTAGAAGATATCAGAATTGATTGCCAATGTTTAGCAATTTCCTCCTAGAATGAAACATTCCACCTTGCAGAAAAGCTCCATTTTTTTTTTTCTTTTTTAATATTTCTGATTTTCTGACAATATATTTTCCTAGCATCTCTGCCATGATAAACTTTAGTTACTTTGCTTTGGAGAGCTTTAAAGTAAGATCAGTCATCAAATTCTATGTAACAAAACTTTAACATGGTTCACATAATATTTGTCAAATATAGTAAAAATGATCTTGTATTTTGGCATAAGTTTTTCAAAAGCATTACATTAAAATGGATGTCAAAATTTTTATTTCCAGTGCATCTTAATGATAGTAATAGTCTTGGAGTTATTTTAAGTTTAAAGTAACTATAATTGTTAATGATTTCACCCATAGTAGGTAAGCTCTATATTTATTTCAGGTCACAGCCAAGTTTTAGTAAGTAAAATTTCTATCATAGAATCCTATTATGTTATTTTTATAATGAAAATAGTTGGTATTTTAAAAACTCTTACTGTAGAGTAGATGCTGTCATCAGTTAAGGATCTGATTTTGTTTTATTTCTTTGGTCAGGAGTCTACCCTAAAGCAGGCCCTATTTCTAAGACTGTAATCCTTACTATTTTATTAGCCAATTCTTTATTTTCTCTCTTAAATCAACTTTACAATAAGACCAATCTAGAAAAGACTGTAGATGAGAATCTCTGACCATATCTTTCCAGAGCAATCCTCCACAGGCAGTGGAACACTCCAAAAGAGGAAGTCTGCACAGAGTAGAAGGCTCTTCCTTCCTGGCTTGAGGGACCTTGCCTTACAATAGGCTGAAGCTAAATTAAAGCCTGCTTATCTGTGAGCTGGAGTTATTGGGAGAGCAGGAAGGAGATCTCCCAAGTGTCATATCTATTTCCCTTTGTCTCTCTCTCCTACTGTTAATTCTAGCAATTGAGAATAAGACCACTACCACAGTTTAAAGCCAAATTTGAAGCAAGCTTTAATTAAATACTGTCTAGAATGGGCTCTGGCCAGCTCCTCACCCAGGTTCCTGAGAAGTGGCCCAGAATTAGGTATAGATATCAAGGGCTCAAGAAGGAAAACCCTCAATTTCATTGTCTTTCCATCAGGTCCAGTCAGGGCAAGCATATGGGCTGACATACTTTCTGCCTATGTTCCTCCTGCTCACATGTGATCAAGCGCATCTGGTGCAGACGGGTCACATTTGTTCAGGGGAATGACAACCTGTGGCTTGTTATCTCCCGTAAACAATAGCCTCTAGCATTTCAGGAGCTCTCTGTCCTTGGACAAGGGGCTTGCAGATCAGAGACATTTTTGTTTCACAGATCTTTGAGGCATAGTAATTAAAACTTAAAATGTAACTTGGGCTCTCACACTACAGCGAGTGGCCTGTTTATCCCTACCCATCTGCTTCCTTCTCTCTTATACTGAGGCTTACTGCTGACCTCCACCTGTGGCAACTTCTAGGTCAAGATCACCAGACCTTTCCTGTCCTAAAGAAAATAATGGCCTCTCTTCCCCATGCTATAGCCTGGTGTTGGACATGACAATGTTTTTCCCCTCTTCTGATGAAGAATGTAAAACATGCAAGTATATTAAAGTAGTTAAAGTGTAACTACTAGCTATTGAAAACAGGTCAATTGCTGGTATTCACAGATTAGCTTGGGCAGTGGTGTATTAAAATCATTTGATGGGGGAGGTCCTTCTGTATGCTGTTAATACATGTTTCTCTAATTGGTTGATGAATAAAACACTGATTGGCCAGGAGCCAGGCAGGAAGTACATATAGGTGGGGCTACCAGACAAAGAGAATGCTAGGAAGACAAGGCGGAGAGGAGCTGCTAGGGAGACGCCATGTAGTCGCTGAAGGAGTTAACAGGTCCGGGCATTCTCTGATAAGACTATGTAGAAATACATATGTAGAAATAGCTACATGTAGAAATAGGTTAACGATTAAGAGAAAGCTAGCCAGTAAGTAGACTAAGCCATCAGCCAAACAATTTATAATTGCTATGTCTTTGTGTGTTTATTTGGGGGGAAATGGCTATAGGATTGGCAGAACAGAAACTCTGTAAATGGTGCCCAATGTCAGGTTCGAACCCATGACCCTGAGATTAAGAGTCTCATGCTCTACCAACTAAGCTAGCCATGTCTCTCCTGATAGGTAACAGAAGCTGTCAGTGTGTGAAGCCTCTGCTTTTCTTCAAGGGTTTCTTTCCATACATCTGATTTGGTCATCAAACTATGTTCTATGTGAACTACAATTTTTGTGTTTAAAAAGAAAAATTTGGATATCAAAAAGCCAGGCATGGTGGCATGCATACTGTAATCCCAGAACTAAGGGCTTTCTGATCAGCTGTTGGGAGTCCTAGGTCCTGAGAGGGAGGACTTAAAAAAATAAACAAACAAACAAACAAATAAATGTGGATGGTTTGTGTGGAGCAATATTGAGATTGGCTTCTGACCACTGCATTCATACACACACACACACACACACATACACACACACACACACACACATACACACACACACACACACCCAAACTGGGGCAGAGTTGAGAATTTGCTACTGCCAATGCCTGGGTCCCAGGGAGCTGAATTCAGGCCCTCATGTTTGCTTGGGAAGCACTTCATCCATGGGCCACCTCCCTAGCTCCTGGTGTCTGTTTTTTAAATCATTGGTACCTTTTTTCATTCTGTGCATGTTTTTGTGATTCTGGGTTTTGTACATCCATTTTAACATTTCTGAAATTAAAAATGTTAGGGATGTTGTGCTTTTTCTTATAAGTTCTCTCCTTTTGCAGCATCAGCCACTATGTGATTGTCATGTCCATGACCATCTTTCTGGTATTTCTTAATGGCCTGGCACAACTGCTCACAACAAAGAAATTCCAACTGTGTGGCAAACCCAAAAGCCATCTCCTGTGATATTGGTGAAGCCATCAGTCAGCATCTGCATCCTTATTCTCCTTAAAGAAATGTCCCAAGGATTCAAGAAGATGGATAAGAGTGCTTATTGCACAAGGCTGAAAACTTGAGCTCGATCCCTGGAATCCATGGAGAAAGGAGGAAACAAACTCCCAGAAGTTGTTCTTTGGCCTCCATGTGCATGCTGTGTCTCACACACACACACACACACACACACACACTGCATTAATAAAAGAAGATGGATGCTAATGCATATTCTCCTTTCGAGAACATTTCATCTGGAATTGTGGATACAGTTGGTCTGGCATAATGGAGCTTCCTTTTTCTTTCAGTTAACAGATAGAATAACAGGTTTTTTATGATGTTTCCAAGGAGCTTATTTTCTCTTTGGGTTTTGCAGGCTTGAAATGATGGTTATATCTTAGAACAGAGAAAAGCATCTTTGTTTTCATTTTATCTGGCAGCTTTTTCCCAGTAATATTGAGAGTGCCTGCCGCCCTTTATGCCTCATGGTGCAGCTTCATGTTCGTCCAAAGGAGCTGGTTTTTCCGCTATGGGGACAGTACTCACACTCTCAAAGTCATCACTGTGGAGGGACTGAATGGAAACCACTGGCTACAACATAGCATCTGTCAGCCCCACCATGGGCTGCTTTTGAAGCAGCTCCGGCTACTCCAGCATGTGATGAGTAAGATGGGTGGAGCTGCCATCTGGGATTTCGCGAACCTCACTGGAAAGCTGTCTGCCCAGCGCTGCCGTTTCTGTGTTCTCCGTGTGTTGGCTTGTGCCTCTCTCTGCTGCTTCCAGGGTTCTCCTAGCCAGCCAGCTAGATGAAGTTTCCACCTTTACCTCCTGTCCATTTCTGGTCATCATTAGAATTCCTGGGGACTCTGGCTTTGTTGATTATGGTTTCCACCTCATTCCCCAAATCAAAGACTATAGTTTCCTGACACTATCATAAAGACTCAAATTAAAATTGCTACTCTGATGTCTCAGTTAGATCACAGGCCCATACCATCTCACTAGATTTAGCTTTCCTTTTGTATATTCCAATGAATGAGATAATTGGAGAGTAATTTTAATTTGGGCTTTCCCTACAGTGACCTATATAGCATAGAGTTGCCTATAGAATGATGTTAAGTTCTTGTCACATATTTTGTTGGTGTGTATCCCATTTTTAAAAAAACAGTTGCTTTTGATTTAAGTCATAATGTTTCCAGTCTGGATTAGTGACCAGAAAGCTCTTTACAAATTGCTAAATTTTTCAAATTGGCAGATGAGCAAAAATAACCTAGGAGAATAAGCTCAGCTGAGCAAAATATACTTTAATTTCTACTTATGACGAAGTCATAATTCGTTTGTGATCATGCCTCCTGACATGGCAGCGAACACATCATAGTGTGTTGAGAGAGAGGTGCTAGTCCTGACACCAGCCTCAGCACCACTGTGTAACAGTCTGGGTGTCAGCTGAGGAGCTGCAGCAGCAAGGCTAACCCTGGCAGAGAAGGACCCCGCTGCCTTCCCGGACCCTCGGGGAACTTCTCATCCCACTATGTAAACGCAGGTTACCTTTGTGCACTTTGATTTTCATTCCTCCTCCACAGGAGAATTAATACATTGTTAAAGGTTTAAGTGTGTGTGCACATCATGCATGCACTTGGGAGCACAGGTTGTTGGATCCCGAAAGCTGTAATTACAGGTTATGAGATGCCTGACCTGGGCGCTAGGAAGCAAAGCCAGGGCCTTTGCAGGAATGGTTTTTTGTTTTTTGTAACAGCCCTATACAAGGTGCTTCCTGTCTTAACATCTTTTTCTTTTTCGTTACGTACTTACCTCTGGGTTGGCCCTAGTTTATAGAAGGCAATGCTTCTGCAACTGTAGCTCTTCCTGCTGCATTGCTCAAATCAGGGAAAGCTTTTAGAAAGTGGGCATAAACTGGGCATGGTGGCAGGCAGCTGTAATCCCAGCACTAGGGAGGTATAGGAAGGAGACCATGAGGTCAAGGAATAGAAAGGTAGGCACCAGCCTGGGCTGTACAACTCTGTGTTGAAAAGAAGTAAAGTTGGCATCTGGGGAAAAAAAAATTAAAATATTGAATGACAGAGGAAAAACATGCTGTGTTACATGAATCATGACTAAATCTTGCATACTAACTGTAATGCTCCTAATTTAACCAATAAATTCTTTAATTTTAGTATTGATTATATAAAGTCTTAGAACACAGAATTCTTTCTTGCATTTTAGAAAAGCTATATTACAGTGTGGTGACACAGCATTTAGGAAGCTGAGCAGGAGGATCAAAAGTTCAAGGTCAGCATAGGTCACATGGCAAGTCCAGAGCAGTGTGCGTTATGTGAGACTCCGTGTTAGGAACAATGAGGTGGTGGTAGGAGACGGCTGTACTATAAATGGCTGTATTTGAGGAATGGCATAACCCATTTATCAGTGACAGGACTGATTGTCATGAAGACCTCACTCCAGATACAAGCTACTCACACAGCAGACCGCCTCCTGCTGCCAACTGCCTTTACATACTGTCAGTAGGAAAGGGTCTTTGTTCCTCCTTTTGAAAGTAATTTCTGATGCTACTCGTTCAGGGGGTCGTGGATGGTTGCATAGTCCTGCCTCTAGAGACAGGCTGCAGCTGTGTCCCCTCTCCTGGTGGGAGCCCTGGGAGCTCCAAATTCCCTTAGATGCCATCTATGAAGCGACTCAGTGATGCAGAGGACCCCCATCTCACTCATGCTCAGAGAGGCCAGGAGTTCTTTATGTCAGTAGTGCCCTCATCCCTTCTAAATGCCTCATAGGGTCCGTGCTCATTGTACTACCTGCCCTCAGTACACCGCTAATGTCTTCATAGCGTTTCCTATTTCTGCACTGGCATAGTTTATAAAAGTAGACTTCTGAATGTAATTCTGTGAAAAAACAAAATAACCTAACATGGATTAGGTTATTGATGGACTCACCGTTAGAATTGTAATATGCGCACAAACAACATCTTGAAGATCATTTCAGAGCATCCGTTGTTGGTGAATAAATACATAAAAGGGTTCCCTGGTGAAGTGTTTGGGAAACATCTAGGTTAGAAAGGTTTAAAAGTGCATTATTCTGGTAGTCAGTGAAATCCATTTCTGGAGGATGCCTCTGCCCGTGACTTCCACATGCTTGCTGCAGACTTCCCCCACCTAAATGGGTAAGCACATTTTACAATTATCTTCAAGTAGTTTTCACAAAAGGGTGTTGTTCATTTCATTGAATTTTTCCCTTGCAACTGGCTGGCAAAGCATATTGATTATAACTGTTAAACTGGGAAAACCAGAACATCCTGGGGATTTTGCCTACATGTTACTATCCGTCCCTTTTACACCCTCATCCTGAACAACATAGTCACAACTCTCAGCTTGTTTTCTTGTGATCTGACATTTTCAAAAGCATTGCTGTGGTCAAAAACTGTGAAAACAAGATCAAGGCAACCTAGATCCCAGCATGGGTGACAGAGGGGATCATGCAGTCCCAAACCCTTCTGAGACCCTATTGACAAATTATAGCTACAGGGTAAGAGGCAGTTTGCTTGTGTTCCTATAGAAGGTCCTACACCCATGGACATACAAGCACTACTAATGAATGTATATTTTTAAAAGGTGCTCATGAAGATAAGAGAAAAGTAGTAAGGGGGTAGATGTTGTATTTGATCAAAACATATGCATATATGAATAGTAAAACACTTTAAAAGAACAAAAATATTGAAAATATCAGTTGTAAAATTTTTTTTAATTGCTAAAATTTTGAATATTACTCTTCGATGAACAGGTCATTTCTTTTCATGCAATGATTTAATTAGGTTGGCTTGCATCCTATACCAGCAAGTAGCAATGATTCCATGACATTTCTTTGGACACCTGGTCTGATTATATAACCAAAACCGGCCTCAGAGTTGTGCCTTGGTTGTGAGTGCTAGCATTACAAATATGTGCCACCATGCCATTTAAGTTGGTTTTACTCTAGTTATTCAGTGGACTTGGAAAATGTGATTGACAAGGACACTTTTACCTTCAAAGTGTTAATAGTCCCAAGATAGCTAAGAATATGTGATCAGTGTTTTAATAGTCCCTGTGCCTACTGAAGAGTCTGTAACTGTCTTTCAAGTCTGAAACTAGAAAACTAAAATTCATTTTCTTGATGTGCCTTAGTTTATTTTTGTCCTATCCTAGAAATTATTGTAATTGGCTGTACCTTATAAACCAGACACTTTGTGTACCCCTTCAGCCAAGCGATTGGAGGTAGCATCAACAGTGAAAGCTGTGATGACACTATGCACACGGGCTATGCCATAATGAGAGTGACATCTTCCTTGTGACCCTTCACAACCCTGTTTAATCGTGAAGGAAAATGGACGTGTCTCAGTTCACGAAGAGTTACACACTACTCGACAAAAACCTGATGAGTAATCTTCAAAGCTGTCAAGGTCATCAAAAACAAGAAAAGCCTGAGAAGCTGCCACAACAGTAAGAATAATGAGACATGACTACTAAATGTTCTCCTGGATGGGATGCTGAAGTGGAGAGGGCTAAAGAAGTCTAATACAGCCTGACTTCAGGACTTCATTAACTGTGAAATCATGCCTACTGATGAGACATTGAAGCCGAAACGGGGCGAGGGACTGTGTGGGAACTACAAATTTTCTAGGAACCTTTGAAAATAAAAATATTACTTGATTTTAAATTTTTACTGTCTTCACAAATTACATAAATGAGTGCGTCCCATTAGATGATGAGGTGGGAGGGAAACAATATGTTTCTTTTTCCTATTTCTCCTTTTCCTCGCTCATCTGCTGCTCAACTCCTATCACTCAGGCCTCTTAGCCATCTAGGTACTAATGTGGTTTCATTGTGACTGTTTGTATAAATTAATATGCAGTGTGGGTGTGCAGTGGGCAGCTGTGTTCTTGCTTAGCATTCTCTTCAGGGGGCAGCTGTGGCCTCCCTAAGCCTGCTGTCTCTGTAGGAATCAAATGGGTTGCTTTGTTTATTTGTCTCCCCACAGTTAACTGATTTACTAGTGTACATCTGACTCAGGCCAGGCCTATTTGAGTCACTGCAAGATTTTCAGCCTTGAATGATGAAATTGTGTCTTGAGTATGAGTGTGTTCATGTATGTGTCTGTGAATCTAAGCATTCATGGATGCTAAATGTCAACCTTGGATGTCTTTCCTCAGGAGCTGCCCACCTTATTTTTTGAGACAGGGTCTC